TTAAAATGTTAAGGAGCTAACCATCTCTGGTTCACATCCACCTTGAACAGAAGGTACATGGATTAAAACATTTAATAAAACAAAACTCACCATCTATGACAATGATCTGAAGCGTGCGGTATGAATCTGGAGACAAAGCTCTGCCGTAACCACACCTGTACTGTCCTGTGTCTGACTTGGTCACCTGTGTGATGGTCACATACAGTCCAAATACAGATCCTTCTTTATATTCAATGTTGTATCTGCCACTCTGAGCTCTGTTCCCATCTGTTTCAATGATAATGTCCTCTTCTTTGTTACATTCGCCCTTACAGAAGAACTTCAACGTTCCGTAGATAGTAGCGCTGCATCCCAGTGTGACATTTTCTCCTTCATTATATGTGTAGATAAAACCAGCGAACGGTGCTGTTGAAAAAAGAAATAATTATTCCCCCAAGGCTGGGCTCCCCGCTTCTAAACACACCATCAGCAACTGGAACGTTCAGACTATTTCCCTGGCCTATCAGGTGCGCGGGTTGCCTTCACCTATGGCCGTAAGGGCGCACTCTACTCGAGGCATGGCGGCTTCTAGGGCCCTCCTCGCAGGGGCGTCACTCCAGGATTATTGTGATGCGGCTGGCTGGGCCACCCCTCACACTTTCATCCTGTTTTACAGTCTGGACCTGCCTTCTGCACCCGGCACCCGTGCGCTCTCCTCCTAGTCGTGCCGTCAGGTCCTGCACGCTGGGGGCAGGCGGGGTTTCGGTGCGGCCTAAGTGGGTATCTCGTTCCCATAGTGTCGTCACCGACGCAGTTCGAGTTCCCACGAAGGGGAACGTCTCGGGTTACGTATGTAACCCTTGTTCCCCGAGAAGGGGAACGAGACACTGCGTCGGTCCGCCACACCTCACCCCGCCTAGAGTGCCTTGCTTCATAGAAAGGGCTAATGTGTCCTATGTGCCGGCGTGCTTATATACCCCCTCCGGTTAAGCCGTCACACACTACCGTTCTAGTAACACCAATAGGATTGGAGTAGTTTCATTCATAGTTCAGCCCTACCACGCACCAACGCAGTGTCTCGTTCCCCTTCTCGGGGGAACAAGGGTTACATACGTAACCTGAGACGTACTCTCAGTCTGTATAAAATCTGCAGGAAGCATCTCATGATCATTTTATCTTTGTTGTTCACAGCTCCAGCCACTTCAAAACCAAATTTGACTCTTGGACCTTTTTCAACATCAGTCCGTGAAACTAACTGACAGGTACAGTTCACAACAGTGGAGGTCCATCAGAGGTTTCTTCTACATTTACATTGCATTGCAGGATTATTGTGCAAATAAACCTTTCTTATATAATTTGGTGCAAGCCATTTTTCAGAACTTTTTTAACAAATGCTTTCAAAAAGTGGTGGCTACATGTCCCCAGCATCCCCATTGTAAATGACCCTCCCTCCCTGACCCCTCCCTACAGGCTGAGCTGCTCCATGCTCACCGCTTCACCTCCACTCTCCTCTCTCCGCCTCCTCCTCAAACATACCGGCTGTTTTCGCACCATTGGCAGCAGCCGTCTGAAGAATGGTGTTTCTGTGGCCCGTAACGCAAGAAAGAGAGAGCAGAGGTGGTGGGGGCTAGTAACAGATGTGATCCATGGTCCAGCCCAATCAGATTTTACTTTAACAAGATAGTTTTAATATGCACAAATCTGTCCAACACAACACTGTTAATGTCAGAGATCCACCTTCAAAAAAGTTATAAGCAAGTAGCAGCTATCTTAATGTTAGAAAAGCACCATGGTTATGCTGTCATTCTTTGGGAAACACTGCAATCGCTTCCAATTTGTTATAATGCCACTAACAGTTGACCATGCAATATTTAGTAGTGAGGAAATTTCACAAATGGACTTAAAGCACAGGTGACAACCTATCATGGTACCACGCTTGAATTCACTGAGCTCCTGAGAGCGACCCATTCTTTCACAAATGTCTGTAGAAGCAGTCTGCATGCCTAGGTGCTTGACTTTATACACCATGGAAGTGATTGGCGGGGTGTCCCAACACTTATGGCAATATAGTGTACAAGATTTACGATACCAAAATATATCAATAATTATCAGGATAAATGTCAAATCATTATTACTTTCAAGTTTAAAGGCTGATTTTTGCTCCTGAGTGACAGCTGAAGAAACCAGACATGACAAACACTTCACAAATCCTGAGGTAGAACATTCAAAACAATTGTAAAGATAAAATCTTTTTTTAACAATTGCGTATTAGTAAAATTAGGTAAAATCTACTATCAGGCTTTGTTCCTCAACAAAATCAGTATTTTAATAGGAAGTGCTGATCATAAGTGATTCAAATTAATTAAACATATAATATGTATATATTTATATATAAAGGAAAATGATATTGCAAAAAATACTTAGAGATACATACTGATGGAGAGGGAAAGAGAGTAGGGCTGTTTGTGTGTGTGTGTGTGTGTGTGTGTTTTGTGTTCAAAGGAGGAACTCAATCATTTAAAGAAGTAAAAAGTTCCTGGTTTGCCAGTGAAGGAGGAAGAGAAGCAAGAGTAAACCATCAGAGCCTCAACATGAATTTCTTTCACCCTTTGATCTGCTTCTTCTTCCTCTGTGAGTATTCGCTTTTTTCACAATTTTGCCACTCTCACTTCAAATGTCATTAGGCCTGAGCACGAAAATGTCATTGCACCACTCTTTGTTTTTCTTTGTTAGGGATTATTATTATTGTACTTTGGTAATGCACTTTTGAGTGGCACAGGATGTTTGAAAACTCGTGATTGGAATAAAGTTGCTTTCATCTTAATGACATTTGGGGGGATCAATGCTCTTATCATACAGAAGTATGACTGATTTAATAGGCAGTAGCAAAAAGTATCCTGTATCCGTTTAAAATAACAAGTTTCAGCAGACCTGCAGTTTTCTGGGAGTGTGTTCTAGATAGATAGATAGGTGCATAAAATCTGAATGCTGCTTATCCATATTTAGTTTAGACTGGGGACAAAAATACAGAGAAACTATGACTCAGTTTTATAATGATGAGCTTGTGAATACTGTTCTAGGCCATACTTGAAAACATGTAAACCTATCTGTTAAAATCGTTCAATAGAAGTACTTGTTACTTCCTCAAAATAAAATGAACATCAAGAAGGAAAATTAAGGACTTTTCAAAAGCTGGAAAAATTAAATATTGTTGCTTGAAAAATCACTAAAATGTTGAATTTAATTATCAAAATGTGTTTTGTCTGTCTTTCCTTTTTAATGCTGAATTTAGTATTTCAAAGTGTGCTGTTACCGACTCAAACTGTGAGCATAAATGTTTACGACTGCTCCAGAAAAAATGTATTGCCTAACTTTTACCCCACGAGGGAAGAGAAACCTTTTTGACACTTGCAGTAGATTGGGCAACACATTCTCACTTACAATCCCAGGAAAAAAAAAAGGTTTTTTTCCTAAATGATAAGCCATAAATACAGATCTGAAGCTAGCTTTTGACAGGGGGTCGCAAATAGTTCCAGTACCAAAACTGTTAAAACTGTCTTAAATGATTATTGACAAGTTGTCTTAACATCAATTCTAATGAAGAGTCTTGTGAGGATTGTCTTAAACCATGTCCTTAAGGAAGTGCAACACAAACTTTACGCATTACAATTTGCATATAGGAAGGAGAGGAGTATGGAGGATGCTCTTTTGTATATGCTGCTAAACAATATAATCGTGTTCTTTTTGTAGATTTTTCATCTGCATTTAATACCATCAGACCCCATATTATGATGGAGAGATTACTGCAGTTAAGAGTAAAGGATCACAAAATCAGATGTGTCGAGTCCTTTCTGACTAACCGAGTACAGTGTAAATACAGAGTAAATGGGGCAGTGTCTTCTCATATTATTACTAACACTGGAGCTCCACACGGGAGCACTATTTCCCCATTTTTATTTACCCTGTAGAAGCAGCACATTTGATCATGTTACTATTAAATTAAATTTACTGACGATACAGCAATCATTGGTTTGATTCAAGATGATGATGAAACCAGCTACCGGGTGTGGGTAGATCAGTTTGTGCAGGTCCAGTTTTCTTCAGATGAAAACCAAGAAAACCAAAGAAATCATTTGGGATTTTAGGAATGGTAACAACACCCAGAAACAAATGACTATTGATGGAGAGGATATTAAAATGATAAATGATTACAAATACTTAGAAACAATAATGGTTGCAGGTTGTTATGACACATTCAGAATCATTACCTCTTTTGCCATTAGTAATTAACAGGCGTCTCGCTTGTGCTCCTTGTAAAAATGCTATTTTAAAGGCTCATTATTATGGTTTTGAATTTCTCTGTAATGTAGCAGTTTTAACAATATTGCTTACAAAATTCTCAGTCCTGGATCAAATTTTGTGATGCCCCAAAAATATGTATTTAAATAAATGAATTAATATCGTAAACGTGCAATGACCGTCTAATGGCTTTAGCATATGACTACCAGTCAACTAGGAACATCTTTAGTCAGGGGCAGCCTTCAATTATAGACAACCTTGGTTGTTCCAGGCCTTTCTCTGTGAGGTCTGCATGTTCTACCTGTGTCTGAGTGGGTTCTCTCCGGGTGTTCTGCCTTCCTCCCACCGTCCAAGACATGCAGGCTAGGTTAATTGGTGTCTCTAAAATTATCCTTAGGTGTGAATGTGAGTGTGAGTGGTTGTTTGTCTATGTGTGGCCCTGCGATGGACTGGCAACCTGTCCAGGGTGTACCACGCCTTTCGCCCAATGTAAGCTGGAATTGGCTCCAGCCCCCTGTGACCCTGTACACAGGATACGCAGTTGACGATGGATGGATGGAGCTAAATCCCAAAACCATAAAGTGAATCCACAAGATAAATACATTTGGGCAATAACCGAATAAATATCCAAATCAACACATAACACAATGGGACATAAGTAGTTCTTCTTGTAATTCTAGAAAACTAGATAACCATCACAGTTGTTCAAGTGCGGTGTTTTTTCTTTCACATGATCGTGCAGTACCATCGTTCACCACACAGGTTAACCATTACAATCAACAGAGGAACTGTTTCACTCATTTGAAGAAACTCTATAAAACATCTGGAAAGGTTTCATTAAACTAAAATTACAATGGCAAATGGAAATCTGGCTTCTCTTGGCTTTCATTACAAAATGACACTTATTGAGGAACTGGTAAATGCCGGACTGGATTAATTTCCTTATGTTTTTCTCAAAGTTTGGGAAAGAATCACCAAGGACACCTAGATTTCTGAAGACAAAATGCTGAACACCCTGAGACAAATGATCAGCTCAGCATCATCAGCAGAGAGGTGATAATATAATTTATGGATAATATCTGCCAAAAGAAAAGGAACAATAATGAACCTCACAGCACATCATAACTTGCACAGTACAAAACCAAACGCAGACATTGCATTTGTATACTGTCTAAAGATATAGAGTAGAGTAGTTGCTCGTGGTCCCTGGATCGAGGCTTTGGTAGATGGAGTCTTCACATGGTAAGACTGGAGGACAGTTCTCATAGATGACAGGCTGAAAATAAAACAGGAACGACATCAAACCTGCAATTCAGCAGTAGCCAGACAAACAGACCAGATATTTCCTAGGTTGTTTGTTAATGTGTCAGTGACAACAATTCAAATATCCAGAGATAATTTGATAATTTTATTTAAATAGCACTTTCAGAGCAAAAAGTACAAGGTAATTTCTAAAGTAAGAGTAATTCCATGTAGCAATATAACTTGTACCACAATAAGACCAGCATAAAGAAAAGGAAACAAATATTCGTAGTAAAGGCTAGGGACGTGAAGAGACAATTGGCTCACAAGACGAGACAGGATTTTAGCAGTTAAGGTTCTCAGGCATTGTGTGTTCTTTTCAGATATGTTTTCTCCAGTAAATCAACTTTTCTCATTTGATATCATCTCAACAAACATGCAGTCAGGAATGAGTCTTCCCTCCTCTTTGTGGCTTTGTTTAGGGACATATTCTCTTTAAATGTGCATGTGGCACCTTTTGACCACAAAGATAAATTAATAATTTTATTTCAGTTCAAATCCTGGCCTTTTAAACACCTCAGTTTCAGTAGGTTTTCTGCACATTCAGAATCTATCCCACATTTGTGTTCTCTGACACGAGAAACAAGTTGTAATATTACGAGAATAACATCATCATGTAATGAGAATTCATAATACTTTTTAAGTCTATCTGCCCTATACTCTGATGTGCATTACATTATTGCTCTGCTGATGTGGTAGTTTCCCCTTCAGACCTTCTGAGAGACACAGCAACCTGTTTGGGAGCCGATGTTAGGATACCTGACAAAGAGGTGGAAAATAAAACTAACTGACACTAACGTCTCGGGTTACGTATGTAACCCTTGTTCCCCGAGAAGGGGAACGAGACACTGCGTCAGTGACGACACTATGGGAACGCCTCTGGGTGTGGCAGGGCTGAAATCATGAATGAAACTACTCCAATCCTATTGGGGTTGCTAGAACGGTAGCACGTGATGGCGTAACTGGAGGCGTATATAAGCATGCCAGCACAAAGGAAACATTAGCTCTTTGCTATGTAGCAAGGCACTCCAGGTGGGGCGAGGTGTGGCAGACCAACGCAGTGTCTCATTCCCCTTCTCGGGGAACAAGGGTTACATACGTAACCTGAGACGTTCCCCTTCGAGGGAACTCGAACTGCGTCGGTGACGACATTATGGGAACGAGAATACCCACTATTCCACGCCGAAGCCTCTGCCTGCCCCCCAGCGTGCAGTAACCCGTAGGCACGACTAAGAGGAGAGTGCATGGGTGCTGGGTGCAGAAGGAAGGTCCAGACTGTAAAACCGGATGAAAGTGTGAGGAGTGGCCCAGCCAGCTGCCTCACACAAATCCTGGAGCGAAGCCCTGTCGTGGGTTGGTCTCTCTCCCCTCTTTTCCTCTTGTTCCCTGTTTCCCCGCCCCTGTTGTTTCTGTCAGTCATGTGTGTCTTGTCCTATGTCTGTGTGTGGTTGGGCGTGGTTGCCTAAATACCTTTTGTAATCTTGCCTAACCTCTTGTTTTCTGTCTGCCACAGTTTCACCCTGGTGTGGAGTCGCTGCCTGCCTGCCCGAACTCAGGATTGCCAGCCCGTTGCTCACAGCCTGCCTGTACTCAGGATCTCCAGTCCGTTGCTCACTGCCTGCCAGTCCGCCTGCCCATCTCTGTGCTCTTTAAATAAAGTCCTGCCTGTGTGCCTGCCTACTTCCGCTCACGAGTCCTTTCTGTGATCCCTAACAAGCCCCTACGAGGAGGGCCCTAGAGGCCGTCATGCCTCGAGTAGAGCGCGCCCTTACGGCCACAGGTGAAGGTAACCCGCCAGGGAAATAGTCTGAACAATCCAGTTGCTGATCGTGTGTTTAGAAGCAGGGAGCCCAGCCTTGGGGGACCCGAAACACACCAGCAACTGGTCTGCTTTCCTCCACCGGGAAGACCTCAGAGGGAAAATACTCAGCGCTCTGACTAGGCAGAGCAGATGAAGTCTCCCGTCCTCTGCCGTCACATGAGGTGGGGGATGAAACGCCTGCAGCACCGTAGACCCTGCCAACCTGGACAGGGGTGCAGGATGGCTCTGACCCTCCCCGGGGCAAACTCCAGGCATTGAGGAGAAACCAAAAGTGCCTGGAGATCTCCTCCTCCTCAGAGAGGTGATAGCGAGGAGAAGGCCATCTTAAGGGTCAGGTGCTTGGCCTCAGCCGACTCCAGGGGTTCGAAGGGGGCCACAGCCAGCGCTTCGAGAACCACTGCCAGGTCGTGGGAACCCTGGAAAGAGTCACGGGTCTCATCCTCCGGGCTCCACGGAGGAAGCGCACGACCAGTGGAAGCCTCACCAGAGGCCCATCACTCAGAGGGGCGTGGAACGCTGCCATGGCAGCCACATACACCTTGAGTGTGGATGGGGGAAAAAGGCCAGCAGAGAAACGGTCCTGGAGGAACTCCAGTACCATAGTCACCGGGCAAGTCCGCCGCCCGTTCTCTACACCAGGTGGCATTTAAACACATTCCACTTCAGGCCGTACATCCTTCTTGGGGACGGGGCTCTGGAGCTGAGCAGCGTCTCGACCGCTCCCATTGTCAGGCTTGCCTCTAGGAACTGCGCCCCCTCAGGGGCCAGACCCATAGCTACCACAGGACGGGGCGCGGGTGAAAGGCCCGGTCCTCCGCCTGGGACAGCAGGTCTCTTCTCAGAGGGACCTGCCAGGGCGGGCCCTCTAGGAGCAATATTATGTCCGAGAACCACACTCGGGCCGGCTAAAAACGGGGCTACTAACAGTAGGCTGTCACTGTCCTGACTGACCCCCTCCAGAACCCCCGGGGGCAGAGCAACTGGGGAAAGAGTATACAGACGCAGCCTCGGCCACGTCTGCACCATGGCATCCAGCCCTAGCGGGCTGGGGGCGGGAGGGAGAACCAGAGCGGACAGTACGTAGTCTCTCGAGACGCAAACAAGTCCACGTCTATGGGTCCGAACCTTTGCACAACCACTCTACCACCTCGGGGTGGAGTCTCCATTCCCCGGGCCTCAGCCCCTGTCGCGACAGCAGGTCTGCTCCCTGAATCTGGGTCCCAGGGATATACATCGCTCTGAGGGACAGCAGTCTCTTCTGGGAACGAAGGCACCTGCTCGTAACCCGTATCAGACGGAGCGGATTTCACCTCGGGGAGAATCCCTTGGATTTCAACCCCCACTGCAGGGCTCTCATGTGCAGCAGGCCAGAAGGTATTGCACTGTACACTGCTGCCAGGAGACCCAACACCCTCTGAAAGTGTTTTACAGTGATGGTGCGGCCTAACTGCACTCTGTGGACAAATTGGACCCGATGTGTGCAGGTGACAGGTGGGCCCGCATAGTCGTTGAGTCCCACACCACCCCTAGGAACGTAGTCCGTTGGGCGGGCGTCAGCACGCGCTTCTTCGCGGCCAGAGCTGCATCCATGCATTTGGTGAACGTGCGAGGAGAGAGTGCTAGGCCGAACGGAAGAACCCGATACTGGTACGCCGCGCCCCCGAAGGCGAACCTCAGGAACTTCCTGTGAGAGGGACTGATGGAGATGTGGAAATATGCGTCTCGCAGATCTATCGTGACAAACCAATCCTCAGATTGGATGTGACTGATGATGGCGGGGATGGTGAGCATCCTGAACCTGAATCTCCTCAGAGATTGGTTCAGGGACCGCAGATCCAAAATCGGACGCAACCCATCCGTCCTTCTTGGGAACTATGAAGTACCGGCTGTAGAACCCGGACTCTCTGACTGGCGGGGAAATAAGCTCTCTGGCCCCGTTTTCCAGCAGAGAGCGAACTTCTTGTCCCAACACCTGGCTCTGCCCCGCATGCACCGCAGTCCAGACCACCCCGTTGAACTTCTGCGGGGAGTGGACACGGAACTGCAGCCTATAGCTATCCACTATGGTGCGCAGGACCCACGGGGAAATATTTGCAAGGCTAGTGGCCGGTGTTATGCGTAGGTCCCCGGTGGCACCCTGAAGCAGAGGACCGGCATGAAAAACTCGCCAGCGACCCACGCTGTGTGAGCCCGATCGTTTTCCAGCTGCAACCCCTCGAGGCGGGAAGACTGGTAAGAGCTCGCTGGCGGCTAGCTTGTCCCGAGCGCCAAGACGGCAGGAAAAACAGTGCCTGTTGCCTGAGCCGCCACAAGGGAGGGGACCTCAGTCAGCCTCTCGGGGGGCTGTGGGCGAGAGCACCGCCTCGCGTCCCAGGTTGTTGAGGGGGACTACGGGAAGCGACGCTTCGCTTCTGGCTCCGGCGGTAGGAGCTAGATGAGGGCTGAGCTTGTCTCTCTTCAGCCGTCACCGTCCTGGACCCAGACCGGTGGGGGAGATGTTGCTCAAACGCCTCTCCCTGCATTTCAGCGTGCTGAAACCTACTGACAACAGCATCCACTGCCTCACCAAACAGGCCAGTAGGAGTGAGGGGCACACCCAGGAGAAAAGCCTTCTCCTTCCCCTGGATGCCCGAGAGGTTGAGCCACAGATGGCGCTCCATAGCCACGAATGCTGCCATGGAGCAGCCAATGGAACGGGCCGTCTCCTTGGTAACACGGAGTGTTAAGTCCGACTGAGCTGACTGAGCTCTTCGGAGCTCAGTCAGGTCCTCCTCAGAGGGACCTCCCCCTAGGTCACGGTCTTGAGAAGATCGGCCTGGTATGCCTGCAAGATGGCCAAGGTGTGCAGGCTTGCACCAGCTCGACCCGCTGCCATGTAGGCCTTGCCCACCAAAGCGGATGTCGTCCGACACGGCTTGGTGGGGAGCGCCAGCGTCTGAAGGAATGAAGCGAGGGTGCGAGGCATCGTTCCATAGCCGTGCTGCTTAGTTTCTGTCACGCTGCTGTAGTCCAACAGAGGGGAAGCAGTAAGCCGTGCAGAGCAGCTTTTTTTTTCTCTTGGTCTGTTCCATGATTTACACAACTCATTGTGTAAATCAGGAAAGAATGGCAAGGATCGACGCGGGGGTGCAGAAAAGCTCATTGAGGTTACTGCCGGCCCGCGGCTCCTGCCCCGCCTCTCATAGCTGGGCGCGGACTGATGACGTCGGCCCGGCTCCCGGAAGTCATCCTCCATGATGCTAAGCACGTCTAGCTCCTCAGAATCAGACTGTGCAAGCCTCTCCAGACTCATACCTCGGGTGGGAGAAGCTGAGAAACGGGCTCCCGAACAGGGAAGACAGGTGGCGGAGTCAGCAGACAAGGAACAGGAAAAAGCCTCGGCAGTCCCGATGCCCTCGGAGATGTCGCAATGGGAGCCCCATGACCGAAGCCGCCGCGCCGCCTCAGCGACCGCCGGGCCCAAGCCACGGGGAGAGCGCATCCGGCTGTCTTCGGAAAAGAGAGCCGCACGGGACCTCAGCACCCTCAGGGGCAGGGCCTCGCAATGGCCGCAAGCAGCCCCCTTGAGAGCTGCCTGGGCATGCGGCATCCCCAGACAGGAAACACACAGGGCATGAGTGTCCCCAGCCGTGATGTAGCACAGGCATGGAAAAACATACCGCCTGAACCGCTCACCAGCCATCTCCTCTGCTTCTCCTTCCAGGTAAGAAAACTTCCTCTCGTGGTTGCTTTTTGAGTAGTATCGAACATGCCAGAGTGCCTGCTGAATAGAAAAAAGCTAATGTGTCCGGTGTGCCACCGTGCTTATATACACCTCCAGTTACGCCGTCACACGCTACCGTTCTAGCAACGCCAATAGGATTGGAGTAGTTTCATTCATGATTTCAGCCCTGCCACGCCCAGAGGCGTTCCCATACTGTCCAGAACAGTAGATGTTGGTTAGCTAGATTTTAGATATTTCTGTAGCCAGTTTTGGCCAAATGAGCCACTTCATGAACGGATCTGGATCGGATCCGGGCCGGACATGAACGGGTCTGGGTGAACGGGTTTTTCCTCAATGGAGTCTGGTGGGCTTTAGCATAGGTTTGTTTTGCTCTGAGATGAGTTACTAGGATTAATTGTTCGGGCAAAACTACATTTCATGACAATCCATGTAGTCACTGATATGATATGTTAGTCTGGACCAAAGTACCAGCTGAGAGCCTGACATTCCCATCCACAGAGCCACATTGATCTTCTTCAATCCAAGTCTAAGTCCAAGTTCTCAATCTTAACCATTGAAACCGAGGTAAACAGAGACAAAACAAACATAGTCACCTCCATCTGTACGCTGCCAGCATTTCCTCTGCTGGTCAGATCAATGTTCCTCCTTTTCTTCCATTTGTAGATGACCAGCAGAAAAACAGCCAACAGGCCACAAACCAAGAGCACGCACACAACCAGAGGCAAGAAGTAACCTGAGTGAGGGACATAGGAGAGAACTGGGAGGAAAGAGAGACAAGTATACACAGTTTAAAAGGGATCTATTTACCTTGCACTGGGAACTTGAGGTGATTTTTATGTGTTGGTCCCTGTTGTTTGTTCTCATGCAAGCACATAGATGCGATCAACCTTCCTACCAAAGGGCACTAACCCACTGATCTAAAACATGGATTTTATGAAGAGGGTATTGCATTCAGGTCAGTTGTTAGACATGAAGCATACACACTGTTTTGGTGAGTAACATTGACTGTACACACAAACATAGTTTTGTCACAGCTCAGGAAATGCAGGATTGGACCCAAATGCCAATGGCAAAATGTTTTCACTGATTTATTGTTAAGGTTTAAGATGAAAGCATTAGATACATGGCACTTTTGACAAGGTGCCATGTAACAAATACTTTCCTTTGAAAACTCCCCTTTATGTTGTTTACCTTGTGGTGGTGGGGAAGCTTGTGTGTCTCTGAGACTGACGGGGGCCTATAGCCCCTATCAGGTTTAACCAAGTCCCTTTGATGCACAACATTATATCTTTGCAATAAATTAATTTCATCATTCAGTATTCCAGATATTCCTCAACTAACTTGTTTTTGAACATTACAAATCATTATTTTAATTAAGTAAATGAAATGTAATTTCATGTGTTTCTTTGCTAGTGGTTTTGAAATAATTTTTCATTTAATAAAATTGTATGAACAATATAAAATATACTGTATGAACAAACATTTTTTACTCAGTTTTCCTGTGATACCGTAATCAGTAACACTTTTAACTTTTTGGAAATTATGCTAAAGAAATGCACCTGCCGACCGTATTCAGCTATGGTTTGTTATGTCGTGATTGCGAGAAAATTATCCCATTATCACAGGAAAACAACATTCGTTATCTTGAGATCACAAGATAATTACCCGTTATCAGTGGAAAATGGAGTAAAAAAAAATTTAATCGAGGGCCACTTAGGGCTTCCGTACAAAGGAACTGACTTAACGTCATGCATGCTGGACTTAATAACTTATATATAATATGACTTGATATAATATATAAGGCATGCTGGTTAGAAATTGTGTCCTACAATGTGTCTGATTTGATGGCGCAGTTTTTATACCCCGCCCCTGCAGTCGTCTGGAGTTCACATTTGACTATCAAGTCAGCCGCAGTCATCTCGAACGCATCTACTGCTGACTATAGGAAAGACTGCCTCTGTGGACGCTCATAGACTGTATAGAGGACAATCTAAAAATCATGGTAAGGAGTGAACAGAACTGAGCACATAATATACAGGAGCAAACGGGGAGGGAGAATCAGACAACAGGAACCAGCTCAAAACAACCACCAGACACTGACGATCTCAAAATAAAACAGGAAGAACAGCGTATGGCAATACACAAGGACAAATGTAACAGAGCACAGTAAGAATGCCTTACTAACAGACAAACCAAATCAAAAACACAGAACAGGAACACAGAGACGGAGTGAAACAACAACTAACAAACATGAGGAATGGCAAAAGGAGAATGAAAAACAAAATTATAACAGAGAAAAAGGAAACTTATTGGTCTAGATATTTCTTCTTTTGTTATGTGTTCAAATCAAATGTATATTATTCATGTGTAATAAGAAATAGGGTATGTGTAGCATCTTTAATAAAACCTGATGAGTTTTACATTATGTAGACGTATGGCTGAAGAAGAAAATTACTGTAACATTTTATGTAAAATTTACTTTTCTACGTACTGACCTGTCCTATGTGCTGAGCAGTGTTGTTTCATTTTAAAGTTTTAAGAACATTTGTTTTGTTCATAATGAAGTTGGAAGAGAGTCACTGATTGGCAGGACTAACAATTCACTGTGAACTGTACCTGTCGGCTGGTTGGTGGTTTCAGGGAAAGCTGGTGAAGATGTGAAACTTCCCGAACTGGAGCTCTGAGTTGTTGCTTGTGTGGAGGCTGATGGGACTGATGTTGGTCCAAGATTCAAGTCTGGTTTTGAAGTGGTCGGAGCTGTGATCAATGAAAACATTGGATGCTCATTGATAGATAAATAAATCATACACAAAGAATATACAAGTTTTTTTACAAGTTGGTTTGTTCAGTTAATGGTCAGAAAAGCAAATTCTGAGTACTTGATTTTAGCTGATGAGAGAAGGTCCATGTTCTCCTGATCAACACATTACACAGGTATTAATCTGTGATCATTCAATGCAAATGTGATCATTAAAATGTACTGCTAGGGGTTAAGGTGCACACCATTAACCATCTCTGGTCCACCGTGGACTTCTCTTTTTGAATTCACATGCTCTTTTTGTGACATTCAATTAATCAAAAACTCACCATCTATGACCATGAATTTAATCCTGTTGGATGAATCTGGAGACAGAGCTCTGCCGTAACCACACCTGTACTGTCCTGTGTCTGACTTGGTCACCTGTGTGACGCTCACATACAGTCCAAATGCAGATCCTTCTTTATATTCGATGCTGTATCTGCCACTCTGAGCTCTGTTCTCATCTGTTTCAATGATGATGTCCTCTTCTTTTTTACATTCGTTCTTACAGAAGAACTTCTGCCTTCTGTAGTTTGTTACGCTGCATCCACGTGTGACGTTTTCTCCTTCAGTATATGTTCGGATAAAACCAAAGTTTCCAGCTAGCGGTGCTGTTGAAACATTGAAAAGAGGAACAATCATTAGTTACTTTCTGTTCTTCCTGTAAGACGCGTCAGATCACAGTACTTCCTGCTTCACATTAACACAGATCCACAGAGTCACACTGAGAGCTGCCCAGTTCAACCACAGGCTGTGACTAGAAGGGAAATCATTTGATCTATTATTTATAAATTGTCAACACCAAGTCCATACATCATAAATAACTCACATTTATCCCACTATTTAATAATTATGTATAATCAATAATAATACGGGTACTAAACATGTTGAATATACTAAATATATCCGGTTTATGACTTTCAGTAGAAACTCACCATCTGAAACTCTGACCTCCAAGTCCCTGAATGATTCTGGAACCGAAGTCCCGCCCAGACCGCACCTGTACCGTCCTGAGTCAGACTTGGTTAGATGTGTGATGGTCACAGACACAATTCCTCTTCCAGAAGATCCATCTCTGTATTCAATGCTGTATCTGCCACTCTGAGCTCTGACATCATCTGTTTTAACCAGAATATCTTCTGCTTTACATTCGTTCTTACAGAAGAACTTCCTGCTTCCAGACGGAGTCAAGTGGAAACTAATTCCACCAGTTCCTCCCTCAGCTCCTGTATAAATGTAGACTTTTGCGCTGACGAGCCCAGTGTTTCCACCACACAGTGCTGTTGGAAAGATGAACAGAGAACCCTGATGGTCAGTACTTCCTGTGTTGTACAACTATGAGAAACAACAAATAATGGATGATGAATATTAAGTTTAAATTGATTAACATTTCATTACAGTGGGCTGGATTAGATTGTGGAAATCACAATCACAGCAACTGAAAAACACGCGTGTGTGCTGCAGCTTTAAAGAGACAGTCAGGTAATCAGTCCTCACCTGAGAAGAAGCAGAAGAACAGAACACAGTGGATATTCATTCTGAGTTTGATCCTGATGGAGACAAATCATTCAACTGCAGGAGAACTGCCTCTATCACTTCACTCCTTCCACTCTGATCAGTCAGGAAGCTGAAGGTGGTTTAATTAAACATTTCCTTCCTCTATGTCTCTGTGTGTCTGTTAGTTTGCTATAATTAGCTGCACTCACAATATACTGACTGAAAATACTATTAAATCATACATTTAAAAGAATGTAAGGAGGCAAAGAGAAAGTTCTGTGCATTTCAACAGCCAGTCCAGTTCAAATTTAAAGTGAAGACTAATTGTCAGATCAGTAAGAGACTTGCTTAAGCTACCTTTGTGAGTTGAATTAAACTGAAAAGCGGAGGTTTCCTGTTTCTGTGTTAACATCTCTGGTTGACACACAGACAGTTATTGCAAGTCTGAGTCTGCGTTTCTGAGCTGCTGACCATGAACCATCGACCATCATTATCTGACCATCAACGACCAGTCAGATCAGTTTCTTTAGAGTTACACCCTAGCAATGACTCACTATCTGCAACCCAAACAAAACACAATTAACAGTTAACTCTTTACAGTTGTTGCAATTATCTTATTTTGTACAATTGTATATTATACAATATGTATAAATATAATAGAAAACAACTAAATTACCCTTAACATTACATGAGTATGCTCCCAAAAAAAACCTCTTACCCTGGCTCTCCTCATACCAGTTGTTGTTTTTGGCAACCCTACAATACAGTTTCAGTTTCAGCCTCGTTTTATTTTTTTTAAACGATAATAACCTCTACATGTGGGTTCTTGTGTTCTTCTTCCTGTTGTCTCTACAGATTAGTTACTGGAAGGACTGGCGAAATGTGGACTCTTAATAATAAATATAAATATGAACATGAAATATAAAAATATTGAATATAAATATAAGGTAGAAGGATAAATATGCATGAAAAGGAAGTAGTCATTCTGTGTACCGTGTGAGTGCATGGGTCATAGTCTTACAAGCCTCTGGATGAGGACTGAGCATAGGTGTCTGACTTTAAAATGGCAGTGGTGTCAGAAAGCAGTTTTGTGTGAAACATTATCAGCAATGCTGTTTATAATGGGCAATTAGTGCAAACATATCAGTACAGTGCAGGTAAAGGAGCAATTTCAGTGACATAAGCAGTACAACCCACAATGCTACTTTGACTAACAGAGTTACAGAAACTTTTTTCCTATTTGTGATTAAAAAAAGCTCTGGTTAACACTGCCAATCAATAAACAGCCGCTGTGTCTCCAAACCTCAAAACCAAAGTATCCTCCAGCAGCATTACTGCAAACTGAATGTGGCAGCCCATTTTGTCCCACACAAAAAAGTGTTTGTTTTTTTACTTCTTCTGTACTCTAATTAAGTTGGAGTTATAGTTGATTTCTTCCACAGAGCTGGGACAGTGTGAGTATTCAACGACTGTTGAAAAATAGGGCACCATGCCGTTGTTAGTTCTTCTGCACAGCTTTTGAGCAGAAAGGCTGGGAGGCCATCGGGGCCTGTGTTCTTGCGCATGCGCACTTTGCTGAAGAGTCGTTGGATGCTAAATGGGTCCACTTCCAGGGCTGTTTTACTGGACTACAACAGTTTTAGCTTGGTCCATCTTATTAACAGAAACTAGTATTTAATGTACATGGATATTCTGTGCAAACAAAAGCTAATGCCACTTTTTAGTCACAAGGTGGCAGCGTTGGCTCACAATACAAGAAGAATTTGGTCTTACACACGTCCTATATGTTGTCTTTTCCACAGATTTCTCTCGGTAGTTCTGCATTTCAACCACGATGGAAGCTGAGAGGTTGCTGTGATGGTGTGTTATATTCTATAAACATGTTTTTCCTTTCCCCAGCAGAGGCATCAACCTCATGGCGTCCACTGCACCTGCCCCGCTTAGCAGATCGGCCAAAAGATCCTCATGGATGGATGAAGCAGTCGGCCGTTGTCTGTTAACGGTGTAGGACATAAATGTGAAACCAGATCAGTCCTACAATTAATTTTAACCATTGGCCAAAGACATACTCAGTCACATCAGTCTGTTTGTAAGATCTCTAAATAACATCTCTAAAAGAGAGTTAATCTGGTAAACAAATATGTCTCAGCCAACGCTTGAGGTGTGACTTTTGTTGTTTTTGTTTTGTCAACACTGCAAGAAATTATTTTGTTTTGTCTCTGTATTTAGTTAAAAGAATGGTCTGTGTGTATTTCCATGTAGAGCCAGTAGATGTTATTTAAAATATATTTTTTAATAAAATCTTGAGAATTGTACAGCTTTGGTTTGCTCTTGAGTCTTTTCTAGTTTAAAATGTTTCATTTTGACCCATTTGGTGCATCCACACATTTTAAAAAGTTCCAATCTTGTGTTTGTGTAATTGTTAATTGCAATTTATAAATATTAGAATACATTAATAGTTTTATATAAAACATGTTTAACCATTAATGTACTATGCATCTGTTCTATAAATGATTGTAACCGCATAAAATGTGATTAATTTTATTGTCAACCTAATGAGGCTGTATAAAATATGCAAATACCCCATTCTTGAGGACACAACACATAAAAATAAGGACTTAATGTCCCTGCCTTAGGCCCAGTAAAGTTCATAACAAGTCAATTTTACATGCAGAAGATCAAGTATACGGTTGAATATGCAGCTGGCCAATCACAGCGCAGTATAGGACTCGCTCTAACTGACACTTTCATGGCTGCGCTTCGATGACTTGTATGGAGAAGAATTCATAACAAATGACACATTTTGCATCACATTACAGCACAGAGGTTAATATGTCAAAACTGTAGAAATAACATATTTTTCAAATTATATAAATGTAAAAATTTGTTAAGTTCAACAGAAATACTTCAACTATCCTAGTCTTAACTTGTATTATGACTCACACCTGTTCTGTTGATCAGCTCCTAAATCATATTCATCCACTAGCATTAATACTGTTAAGCCTACTTTTTTCACACTTTTACTACATTCTTAAATACAAAATATCAACAATACAGAGGCATACAAGGACTAGCTAGGATTAGATTTCACCAAACTTGAAATAACCATACTTTACAACCATTACTTTAACAAATACCGATAAAAGGTGTACATGTCCAGGAGCAATGGCCATAAAAGAAATGAACATTGATGGGAAGGCCCGCCATGGTGGTTACACCTTTAACAGGGGAGCAACACTTCAATTCAATGTCTCTCAACTGAATAAACCACTGCTTTACACATTAACATTACATATTGTCAGAACAACATAATGAAGTCTTTTAGGTCCTTATAAATGTATTTCAGCAAAATATCACACACACACTACTAGCCTGTTTTGTACAGGAAAAGCAGAGACAGGAAGTGTTTGTGAGCCTTCAGCATGGTGTTCTCTATATGAGGGGCTGAAGCATCATGCAGCCCTACTAGCTCTAACAGAAGTGGACACTGCCTCTTGTGGCGTCATTTAGCTAATGCATCCTCAAAAATACTCTACTCAAATTCAGGCTATTACACAAAACAAGTTAACAATTGTGACAATACATTTGCTGGTGTCAGACTATCCCAGATGTATCATTTGAATTAAGTTGTTTAAGTGTCTTTAAGCATGCAGAGATTAACCAGCCAATACAATCAAGAGGAATGTTGTTACAATGAAATAGAAACTATAAGATATCTGGAAAGAATTGCTCCTCTTGGCTTTCATTACCAAATGACACTTGGTCTGACTTATTGAGTAACTGGTAAATGCTGGACTGTATTGATATATTTATGTTTTTCTCAAAGTTTGGGAAAGAATAACCAACACCTACATTTCTGAAGACAGATTTGACATTTCAGAATAATCAAGTGATAAAATGCTGAACACCCTGAGACAAATGATCAGCTCTGCATCATTAGCAGAGAGGTGATAATATGATTTATAGATAATATCTGTCAACAAAAAAGGGAACAAAATGGAACCTTGCACCACATTATAAGCTGCACAGTATAAAACCAAGATTCAAATCCAAATATTACCATTTGTATTCTGTTTTAAAATCTAGGTTTGATCCTGTTCACTTGATCGAGGCTGTGGTAGAAGGAGTCTTCGCATGTGGAGACC